TACATGTAAATCAGATCCCAATAAAATAAAAAGGAAAAGCTCCCGGAGGTGGGGGCAGGGCTTGCTTTACCTGCCAACTTGGATGAGATGCTCTGCTCCCACCTTGTGGACATTGTGGTGCTCAGCCCTGCACTTGTCTTTCTGAGCAGTCGGACGAGGATATTGACGTTGCAGCTCTTGGCAAGCAGCAGCCTGAGGATATCTCGAACCCCGTGTACGAGAGCACGACTTCAGCAACCCCAGAACCTTCCTACAACCCCTTCACGGTGAGTTTGCATTCGTATCTAGGAACAGGCTCAGTCAGGGTGCAAGGGAATGATGTCTTTTAGCAAATCTCACTTCTAGAACATGTCTCCAGGCAGCAAGCCTAAAAATGAGTGACACAAGCTGGGTGAAACTGTGCGGTGGTTCGATGCTCCTGCGCTCTTTGGGGTGGATGGCATCCAACAGAGGTAGGAGGGAATTAGGGATTGCCCACCCCCGACCTCGTGACAAGGTGAGAGGTCACAAGGAGAAGAAATCTGGGGCTGAATTCTGCCACAAACATCGATGAGGTAGCAGGTGCAAAGTAGGACATACCACTGCTTTAACTTGTATCCACACTGTTGCCCAGGATCCCACCGCGTTTAGTCAGAGCTGCTTCTTGCTTTAGGAGCTACGTTTCTTTGATGAGGTCTTTTAGGTCTAGAGCACATGTTTTGCTCTGGTCTTCCAGGAAAGGATCATTTATTTGTTTCTAGAGTTAGTGACCCTTGGGCTTAGATGGAGCCTCCACTGGGGTGACCAGGAGGACCCCGTGGCAGGGCAGGCACCTATTCACACTGAATGTGGAAGATATACCCTGCCTGTCATTTAGTACCAGGTCTGGACTGAGAAGCTGGACATGAGATAATAGAAAATACACAGTGGTCTCTGCCCAGGTTCCTGGCACAGAGCTCCCAAAACCCTTAGAATTTCCTAAGTGATAAGAACACCAGGAGCATCTTTTGTTCTAATGGGGAGATTCTGGGTGGGCTCCCTGAATGTCTCCTGGTCCCCAGAAAGGCCACGCCATTACTGTCATGCGGTTCTCAGGGCCTGTGGTAGCAGATTTAATGTTTGCAACAGACTGAAAAAATAACTGGATCATAAATCCTGTTTTGTTTTTTAATCAAACCCAGGTATCAGTTTCCAGTCCAGATGGCAAGGGCAAGTTCAGCTAAACTGCATTTACTGATAGTCTGCTTCTGTAAGCATCGTTATGTTGAAATCAACCTCATTTAAAAAGCAGGGGGGTAGGAAATGACACATCCAGTTCAAGGCTCTCCATGCCTCCCCAGCTTTCTGACCTCTTCTCAGGGCTCCATCAGCACTGTGCATGAAAGACTCACCTGAGGCAGGTCACAGTATCCTAGATGCAGGATTCAGCTAAACCTTTCTAATTGGACCAGATAGCAAACATGTTCCAGTCACAGGAATCCTAAGCCGAGAGTGCCAGCCCAAAATGTGCTAGATTCTTATGCTTTTGATATGAAAGGTGCAGGTGTTGCTTTCAGACTGTCTGGAGCCACCCTAGACCTCTTGAACAGCCGTTAACGCTAATTAACAAAGCTTTGGTGCTGATCAGAGCCAAAGACAGTGAGAAGGGTCAGGGTGGCTGCCTCTAGAGCGTGGCTTCTGGTTAGACCTTCTGAAATGCTCGGGCGTCTCTCCCAGTTAGTATGAATTTTCAAACTGAAAGGACCCTTTCGTAGTCATAGGAAAAGCCACCTTTAGTAAGGTACTTTTACCTTAATGTGTCTGATTTAATCCTCGCACCTCCCCGTCAAGTAAATATCATCAGGACCCTTTACAGATGAGGAAATTACAGCAAAGTTGAAAAGACTTGTCCGGGGCCACACACCTTCAAACAGCAGCGACTGCACCCAGAATGGGGGCCCCAACGTCCATACTGCCCCACCGCCCAGCGTGAGACACGGGACAGAGACATGGGACAGCAGCAGACAGAAGCCACACGTGTGTTCACAGGGCACTTGGGGGAAGAATTGTGTTTTAGGCTATAGGGAAGGAAAAGGTTTTCCTCAACCCTCATAGGATGCTGGGCTGAGTCTGAAAAGTAAACTGACCGAGACGGACACAAGAGAAAATACTCATCTTACTGAATGTTGACATGTACGTGGGAGTCTTCACGAGAGAACATAGACCCCAAGAGGTGACCAGAGCAGGAAGCTTTTGTACCTTTTAGACAATAAATTTAAGAACTGACAAGCGAAAGAGGTTTGGGCCTAGGGGTACTGACTGGTGAAGAAATAACTAGGAAGATAACAGTTAGACTTCCTGGCCCCCGAACTCCCCATCTCTGGTGCTAAGTGTCCTCTTTCCTCCCGGTACAGGGAGGGCACCTTGCCCATGGGAATGTTATTACCTGTTTCAGGGAGGAAGGGCAAGGGGGCAGCGTGGGTCAGAGTGACCTTCCTGCTTCTGCCATTTTTTAAAAATTCCTTCAGCTGAAGATATTTAATGCACCAAGGTGTTGTATTTGAGGGTAGCGCATCCAAACTCCACCAAGGCCTCAGACCAGTAGCCAAAAAGAACGCGAATCGTGGCAGGATTCCCAAGCAGAACGTCCTGCCCTCTGCACATTTCACAGACCTCTCTTTTCAGGACCCTGAAGACCAGCCGCTGGGGAGCAGTGACCCCCTTGGGGCGCTGTGAGGCCGGACCTGCGCCCACCCGATGGCATCGCGGCCCTCTGGCCCCTAGAGCCTGAGGGGCTCTCAGCTGTGAATCCTCAGCCCGGCGCCTACCGGGAGCGTAAGATCCTTTAACATTTCACAGTGTGAAACCCTCAAGCCGTACCTCACCTTTTGGGTTGATCTGGGAGATTATTTTGTTTCTGTGGGTGAGAGACCGTGTGTTAAGTCCACCCACCAACCAGGAGGTCTGCTCCCCTCTCTGACCCTCTGCTGTCCTTCTTTCAAGTGGCTCTTACCACTTCCCACCCCCAACTCTAGCGGCCCTGTCTTACTTCCCTGTTAGACTGCAAGCTCCTGATGACAGGACCTTCCCTTGTTCGTCTTTGTATCTCTGCACCCAGCACAGGGTCTGGCCCATGAAATGTGCTCAACTATTGGTTATGGAACAGAAATAAAGTCAGTGGAACAAATTCAGGGTTTTGGGAAACAAAACTACTGTTCACCGCCAGAGGGGTCAAACGTTGATGGTAAGGTCAGCTTACCAGGGCCTTTTCAAATCACCAACATCTGCCTTTTAAGTGCCTCTTAATTCTGTTTTGTTTGTTTGCTTGTCTGTGCATTTAAGACAGGAGAACCACAATGGGACACCACTTCACATCCCCTAGGTTGGTTATCATCAAAGGCACACAATAGCAAGTACTGGCGAGGATACAGAAAAACCGGAGCCCTCCTACTCTGTGGGTAGGATTGTAAAGTGGTGCCACCACAGCGTGGCAGGTCTTCTAAAAGCTAGACGTAGAGCTACCATACGATCCAGCAATTCCACTCCTAGGGATAGACCTGAGAGAAATGAAACCATGTCCACACAAAAACTTAGATGTAGGTTCATAGCAGCATTACTCATAATGGCCAACATGTCAAAATCAAAACCACTCCAAATGTCCACCACTTACAGATGCATAACCAAAGTGTCTGTCCACACAGTGAAGTATCACTCACCCTACAAGGGACGGAAGGACTGATACCTGCAGCATCGTGGATGAACCTTGCAAACATGCTCAGTGAAAGCAGCCAGACAAAAAAGACCATGTACTGTATGATCCCATTTATATGAAATGTCCAGAATAGGCAAATTCATAGAGACCAAAAGATTAGTGGCTGCCAGGGAGGAACTGGGGAAGGGCAGAATGGGGTTACTGCTAAGAGACACGAGGTTTCTTTTAGGTGATGAAAATGTTCTGGAACTTTACACGGGTGATGTGTAGGGCCAGTTCTCCACTGTGCAGGTCTCCCCAAGCAAGGCAGGATGTCCACCACACCCTCAAAAGACCCGCAGGGGCCTCTGCATCACTGACAGCTGGGCACCCTCCAGCCCGCCCACCACCATTTCCAAACTGTCCCCAGGGGAGCACTGGCTAGGCTTGGGAGTCCCTGCTGCGGACAGAGGAGTGAAAGGCTGAGTGGAGCACATCTCAGCCTCTCCTCTCTGTCACTCTCATGGCCCAAATAACTTTGCTCCACATCATCAGAGTTTCTGCTCCACCAAGTCCAAAGTTCTAGAAGCCTGAGTCTCATAAGTTTCCTCACCACTCCAGGAAAGGAAGGAAGCCCAGTTTCAGGCAGAGGAACAACTTACCACCTCCGCTCGGACGACGTGGCATGATGGCAGCAATACCAGGTTTCCAGGAAATCACTCCCCAGAAGGAAGGTGGACAGATTCACTAGCAAGCCCACCCACGCCACCATCGCAGGCACAAAAAGGCGAGTGACTCAGAGGAGGGCCAGCAGGCCACCCGCAGGAGAAGTGAAAGAGATGACATTCCTGGCACAGTGAGAGGTCAAGGATTAAGTTTAAACACACACACAATTAAACAGTTAAAAAAGCTCTTCAAAATATTTACAAATTTATCCAAAACCCAGTAGTCACTTGACATCAAAACATGCACTCCTAATTCAGTATTACTCAGTATTTTTTTTCCCTTAAAACGCTTCCAGTTTCCAACTTACCTGGTAATTTGACTGCAAACAGATCACTGTCTTCCTCCTTGTTCTCAAAGAAGGAACTGTCTGTGAGGGATGGAAATTCCAGGTAGGTTACTGGCTGCCCGCCTAAGACCACGTTCACATCAATTTTCTGTCTGTGGCTTAACTTCACGGTCTTCAAGCTCTGAAAACAGGCAGCAGTGCTTTGCTGGGGGTGTGGGGACGACGGCGGTGAGGAGTGCACCATAAATCTTTTGCTGCCTCCTCTCAGGGATGTGCATTTTTGGGTGCATTAGAATGTGATATTTTGCCACTAAAGCACATAAAACAGATGACTTAAAATAAACTGGACAATTCAAAATTTTATTTGGCAATAAGTTCAACGTCATATGACATAAAATCAACAATTAGAATAAATAGCAAATTCACATTCAGAATAAATAGCAAGTCTACCTAATTTGCATTCATTGTGTCTGAAGTTAAACGATCTGTCATTCTACTAAATAATTAGAAAACGGTTTCCTAGGAGTTGAAGCCTCAGTATAGAAAAGTACAGAGCACAGTTGTGGGTCGGGTTCCCCAGAAAGCAAACACAGATATGGAGGTTCTCATGCGGGACGTTCTCAGGGGATTGTTCTTGGGATCAACACCTGGGAAGGGGAGCAGGGGTGAAAAGGGAAGGAAGCCGGGCCGGTGGGGCAGGAGCTGGGCGGCAGTGCAGACACAAGGAGGCCCCAGCTGCGCACCTGCCCCCCAGCTCTGGTGCTGGATGGGCCTTTGCTCCAGGAAGGGAGCCGGGCCACACCCTCGCCCGAGGCAGGACTTTTCAGCAAGGGAAGCTCCCACAGAGGATGGACAGCTGCAGACTGTGAGCCAGCAGTCAGGAGAGTAAGTCCTTGGGTCCTGAAGGGGATCCTGGGCAGCCAAGCCCACCACACACTACAAGCACGATCACAGACTACTGCGATGAGAGGTATATGCAGTGAGTGCCGAGCCTGGCAGCTCAATTACACAACGACAGTCATGCCATGTGCTGGAAACACAGTACTTTACCACTGGCCACATGAGGAAATATGCCCAGAGAGGAGCTCATGGGGAAATCTGGCGCACTTGCCTGCGGACCTACTAGCCGCACCTGACGTGAGCGGGTTCGTCTGCACGCCTCCAGCAAGGTAACCTTGCCCCTGCCACCGACACATCCGTCAGAGCAGGGGCCAGCACACCGTGCACGGCCCAAGGGCCAAATCCAGCCTGCAGGTGGTTCTCATAAATCAAGCTGTAATGGAACACAGGCGTGCCCAGTCGTACAGGAAGGGCCACAGAAGAGGCCCACAAAGTAGACAGTATTTATTGTCTGGCCCTTTATAGAAAAAGTTTGTTGGGCCCTGCATTAGAGAAATTTCACTCTTTTCCTTAACCCATCAGGGTATTAAAAGTTAGCTGAACTTGGGACCAACCTCCCATATGCTAACAGAAAAAAAGGAGGTGGGAGGAAATTGGTACTAAAGGAAATCAGTATTAAGCAGGCAAATCATAGGCTTCCTAACACTTGAATAGAGCAATCAAGGGACTGTGCCTCTGGCCAAATTTACTCTGAGAGCATATTTGAGACAAGGGCCCCAGAGTGGGTCTTTGGCAGCTCACAAACATTCTGCAGAGTGGAAACCAATTCCAGTATTTACCGCACACACTACTGCTTCAAAGGCCTTTGGGGAGGAAAAGAAGGAAAGCGATTTAGTTCACCCAAAGCTAAATTAGCTAGGAGGAAAAATTACTTTTCATTTCTCCTTTGCAGTAATTAAGAGGACCAGTGCATTCAGAGCAACAAGAAATTCGGTCTGAAATGTGCCTGAATCAGAAACAGGTGGTTTATGTTATGCGGCTTCAAGGGAGCTGAAGAGAATTTTAAAAAGGAAAAAGAAGGCCATATACGTTAGGAGGAAAGTGGGAGCTGTAAGCCAAACTCCTAAAATATTTTAAAAGCCAGATTTTATCTATAGAAGCAACTCTGGAAAAACCAGCTGTGCAGGTCCCTTCCAGAACAACCTGCTACAGGTACGGTGAGCCTTGCTCAACCGTCACACCTGGCAGGGACTGCCCCTGGACCATGAATTTTTGTTAACGTCATTCTGAGAAAATCTGTCTAATGGATGCTAAAAAGAGAAAATACTTTTCAGAGTGCAAACTAATTTTATTCTGTGCACTTCCCAAATCGATGTTTTACGTGGTAGAGAATAGACTCCCTTCCCCTGTAACCAATACGCATTCATCAGCTTGCACCCCAGGGAACGCACCAGAAAGAACAAAGCGCAGTGCAGCCTGTCGAATCCCAGCCGAGTCATGACAGTGGCAAGTTAAAATCGATCCCAACTGAGCATAGACAAGGAGCAGGCCTGTCCTTCCTACAGAGACGGCTGCCCAGATCTGTGCGCCCGCCCCGGTGTGGGCTTGCAGCCCGCCAGGCACACGCTCGGTGGGCCCTGCTCAGACAGAGGCCAGGTGCTGCTGCCCGGCAGATCTCAACACCGCCATGTTCAACGGCCTAGAGACTGAAACCTTAATTGATAGTAAATCATAAAGTTCACTTTTCACACCCAGAAAACGTATTTCTTCCCCTAGGCTTGGGTCACCTAACCTAGACATACATAAAAGCAGGTTTTAAAAATAGTTGTACTTCATTCTGGAGTAAACAGAACACTCTATATAACTGGCACCTAAGAGCCATCCAATGAATACTTGATTAGATAAAAACTAAGACAAAGTTTTAAAATAACACTTACTTCCTTACTTAGCTTCTTGAAAGCAGAAACTATCAGCCATAAGTACCAGCACATCCCTTGAGAACCCCAACACCAAGCGGTTCTGGGCATCTACCGGTACCCCTTCAATGCCAGCCTCCATCACTCTGATGCTCAGAAGTCCCAGGTACTGACAAACAGTGAACCAAATGCCTACTGCATTCCGAGAAAGGAATGGACTACTGTATTTATAATAAAATTTAGAAGGAAAAAAGGGGCCAATTGGGCCTAGGAGGTCTAGAGTCCCCTTCACTACTTTAAACACATTGAAAACATCACAAGTACACACCAATTACAACAGGCAGCATGAGAGCATGCTACAGAACCCATCTAATTTCTGCATCCAGGCAGGCAGCCTGTGGAAGGCCAAGCCAGCATCTCATCAACAGCTGGCTCCCATACATGAAAAAATTAAAAATACTGAATAAGCAAGTACTCTCTCCACAAGCCCCTCCTGTCCCAGCATCCCTTCGGTTTAAGGATGCATGTTACTTGCCTTGTCCTCGGAAAGAAATGAGAACATTCAGTAGCTAGGTCATTGCCAACCGTTTCTCTTAGCTTCAATGGTCTTGATCCTCTCCCACATTAAACACAGACACCTAAAGAAAACCACCCAAACTCCCAAAAAGCCACACAAACATGGCAGGAAAGCAGTCTAAGGGGAGAAGGGGGTGGGAGATGGTAAGCAGTGAGGCCACCTCCCTCCCCTCCTGCTGGATTCAAGCCCCTTTCCTCGGCTGACCAGTCAGGACAGAGACAGGCACCTGCTCACTGCCCTCCAGACAAGGACGGCTTCTGGAAATGCACACGTTCGCGACGAGACTGCAACACACCCGGTGGGGGTCACGGCATGGCGCCTCTGTACGAGGACATTTTCTGGTTTCATTTTTCTCCAGTAAGCACATTCAACCAACACTTGGGGGAGTGGGGGTTCAGGTGTAATGGGCGCCCGGGAGATCCACTGCAGATGCACTGGCTATTCTCACCTGTTTGTTTCTCGCTGCCTTATTCAACCAACCTGTTCTGTTGTCTGGAAATTTAACCAGAAGCTCTTTTCTCCTCACCCTTCTCTTCTGGGAAAATGAGAGACTGCTCGCCACTTGGGGCACCATTTGTCCCTCCCCCGCACAGGGCAGGACACAGGAAACGGGTGCGGAGGACAACCAAGGCCAAGGACTTGCGACTTCTCTCATTCTTTCTCACACCAGGCTTCCAGGGAGGCCGAGTCTGCTTTCAGGTGATGCACCAGAGCACTGAAGCCGTGGAACCAAGCGATTCAGGGAGCGGCTGCTGTCCAGGGCCCGTCCCTGCCGCTGACTGCCGTGTGTGCCACCGCGGGGCTCACGGATCCCCAGCATTCCGCCAGCAGTTCACCCCGGCACCGCCTGTGAGCGTCCGGTGCATTCTTGGTGCAAGAGTCAAGAGGAGTTTCACAACATCACCTGCTGGAATACAGAGGGGGCATGGAGAAGCCCCGCTCCCAGGAAGGCTGGCACGGGTTACAGGACCTCGGTAAACAAGGCCGATCTCCGAGGGTCAACAGGAAGCCAGCTGCCGTCCCCACATGTCCAGGAGGGCAGCCCCAAGAGCTACGAGCTTCCATCTTCACGAGTGGGGGTACTGTCCATAATGTATAAAAGAAACATCACAAGGCATACCTTATGGTTTCCGAGAGGGACACTCACTCAGATCCATGCCAAGTCTGCCCAGTGCAGGGCCATCGCTGGTTCCAGCCTTGTTTCTTTCTGGGCCGGGGCGGGCCCCTGGCTACTTAGCCTGGGCCTCCTGCAGGAGGGGGAGCCTGGAGAAGGGGGGCTGGGCGGCCCAGGCGGGGAGCTCGTGCTGCAGCGGGGTCCTCCGGGGGTAGAACGTGTGGCTGACATCATAGTTGAGGAGGCAGCTCAGGGACGCCATGTAGATGTCAGCAAATCGCGACAGGCGTCTCAGGAAGTACGTTGGGTTCTGGTCTGTGCGGAACAAGCTTCCAAACTGGGCATTGAAGAAGCCTTTGGTCATTTCTCTGAAGCAGCAAAAGAAGCAACAGAGGATGTTTCCAAAAAGGTCTGTCTTTTAAGTTACTGAAATCCACATCACCGTTTTTTATTTATAGGACTCAAATTAGCCTAGAGCAGCCCCGACTTCTAATTGGGAAAACCAGTCCATCTGTCCATCCATCAAAACAACTCTGACCACATTCCCCACACAGGCCAGCTGGAGACGGCACTGCTGGAGGCTCCCCTAAATGTGCAACCCCCCCCCATTTCCCAAACACAAAGGGTGCGGGAGCTTCTGAAGGTCCACAGACATGCAGAATGTTCTCAGTCTCCAAACGCCCCTTGTCTGCAGAATGGGACCAAGGCCCCGTTTTTATGAGGTTATAGAGAGAACAGAAATTAAAAAGCATATTGCAAACTTTAAAGTACTTTATGTCTAAGAGATTAAGGCTTAGTTTACAGAGATGAAAATACATCTCCACCATCCATTACAGGGCTTCAAACGCCTCCTCAGAGCTTGGGTTACAGGCAGATACCTGTAATCTTGCAAGGTTGTTCACCCCACCCCAGGCTCTAAGGCCCTGAATACCCGCCTCTGTGCATAAATCCACACCCCATCACACATTCACAGGATAGGCACACCATCCAGTCTGGTAGCTGGGACCCCTACACAGAGACCGTTCCAGCAGAATGGATAAACACCATTTGACTGTTAGTAAATCAGTTATAAACACGGCAGAAAATAATAATCCTTTATACAAATGTGTGATAAAAGCTACTAGTCTGTCTTCATAAGGTGACAGATGCTACAAGAAGTAGAAGAAAATTAAAAGACCTCAATTAAGTCTGCAGGTGGAGCAACATAAATGGCTTTTAAACTTTTACTGAAAAATCTCATTGAGATGTGAGGTTGTTAGAGATTTGAATTCAAAAGAAAATCTCTGACAGGTGAAATAATCCATTCTCTAATAGTGTGAGATCCCTGGAGTGTAGGGCTCAGGTCTGGCCTTCAGTGGTGAGGACCCAGAGTCTAACACATCATATGCCCATCACCCTCTCACCAACATTTTTATACCCACATGAGAGCAACAACCATGTCAGAATAAGCTCCCAACAGACACACTGAGAGGGAGAGGGAGGACTGATTTAATACAGCAGAGGCCTCCGCAGCCCCGGGGGATGGACTCTGCTCCCTCTCCACGCACATCACCCACGTCAGGCTGCCATCTTCTGCTCAGAGGCCAGAACCCAGGCAGTCAGCACTACTTCCAGACCTTAACAGCTGCGCCCGTGGCGGGGAAGGGCGGGGACACGGCAGCCACAAGAGCAGAAAAAGTCACGTCCACAGTGTCCACAGACACAGCATCCTCTGAGGGATGCACGCCTGTCTACGCGGCCTCTGATGAATAACCGTTCCCTCAGATGCACACCCACTGAACTCCCCTGACAGCAGAAGGGCTTTCTGCGCTGATAAACACAATGATACTGAAACAGCCGTGGTTACAAATAAGCACCGGGGTGGTAGGAGCCCCAAGAGTTCACTGTGGTTCAGAGCTGCCACACAGTGCTGCCCGCATTACCAACAACTGGGCCACCAGCCACCCAAACGGGAAAGTTAAGTGGCCTGGGAGGAGGGAAGGGAGAGAGGTGTGAGGGGCTCACCGGTGCCTCGAAGAGATGACATTCATCACTAACGACAGACGGCTGGGTCTGGGTACTGGGGGTCACAGTGACCCCTGGCAGCTAAAACCGGCTGCTCTGAGTCAGCCTCAGGCAGGCCCTGGGGAAGGTGTGCGGCTGAGTGAGCGCAGCCCGGCGCCCGATTCGTGATATTCGAAACAGGCCACTCTTACCTCATCTCCTTCCTCTCCTTTTTCCACTCCTGCAAAACCAGCTGGGACTCCGCATCTCTGTGAACCTGCAGGACACAAGCTAGTTATTGAGCCGGTTCTCGTTGTGAATAAACTCACTCGGCCGTGAGAATTTTTTTAACGGGCAGCTTTTCTTGGAGGAATTTTAGTCAACCCTAAGAGACAGACACTTGCATGAAATAAAACATTTTCAAACTTCCCAGCTGCAAACCGCCCTTCATCAAATTAACATGGAATATTATGAAGCTATTAAGTAAGGACCCGATAAACTCAAGATATTAAAGTGTTATTAAAGGCTGTGTATAATGCATATGTATCCACATAAAATACACGTGTATATTGTGTGTGTAATGTATCCATTACACGCATGCAACACACATATAAACATACTTAATACATTCCTATTATACAAGTAAACATGTATACACATTAAAATGGCAGTTAAGTGGAAACAGCCGGTATAACAGCACATCCACAAACTACAAAAATGTAAAAACGTGTGCATGTATTTGGAAACTAGCATGGAAATTTTTCTTTAATTTGTGCAAGAGTAGCAGAATTATAATTGGCTTTAATTTTTTTCCCTTAGTATTATATTATCTTTTAAAGTGTTTAAGAGGGAGAACAGTTGTTTTTGTAAAACACAAGAAGGCAGAGCACCTCAACCAGATGCAAAAGCAGAGAATTTTCTGGGTGGGCTGAAATGAGAGCAAAAGGCAAAAAGAAAATGACCACTGCCCAGCCCCAACCAATGGAATCCCTCAAGTCGGTCTCCAAGGCTCCTGTGACTAAACAGGAACTCTGGCCAGAGTCAGAGGTGCACATGACCGCAGGGAACAGGTGGGGCTCCCTGCAATTCACAGTCACAGGAGCAGCCTCAGATCCCGGAGGAAAATACCAAACAAGCAGACCATCTGCTTTGATGAGGCAGCCAAGGCCCCTCTGTTGATCACATCTGCCCAGATCAAGGGATTGACTGAGTCACCCTCTTAGGGTCTCGGCCACCAGACAAAACCCTGAGCTTGTAACGTGGAGTTCCTGCTTGGCGCTGCTGCCTACCCCACCAGGAAGCAGCCACCACTGCGCGACCCCTGGCTGTGTGTTACCGGGACACCCGAAGACTGACCGGCCCAGCACTGCTGCGGATGCTGATGTAGGTTCTAGGAACATGTTTCAATTAACTTCCACACTTTAAATTAACAAATTACTCGCTACAGAATTTAGGCTTACAAAGTATGTGACTAGATCAAAGCTCTGTAGGGTGCCACAAGGAACTGATTCATATCTGTAGATACACACATACACACAAGCATACACACATATACAAGCACATGCACACGCATATGCACATACACACATACAGCTGTGCACACACACATGTACACACATATGCGTATTTATATTCAGCACCTACCATGTGGCAAGCACAGTGCTAGATGCTGAAGACACGAGAGCAGACAGACAGAGGCCCAGGTGAGTGAGGGCAGAGCCAGGGAACCAGACCAGGAAAACACGAAGTGATACTGCCCAGAATACGCTCCAAATGACACTGCTGGCTCCAAAAAGAGCACACCCAACCTCAGGAGACAAATCTCTCTCCTCAGAGAATAGTCTCTAAAAAGGGAGCGTTCTAAGAACATTTGGCACGGGATCACTGGAACAATGTAGAGCTTTCCAGGCAAACATGGGGGCAGGAGAATGGGAAGGAAACGGAGAGGACAGTGAGAAATGACACTCATCTGGATATTTTTTAAAGTATCAGCCACCCTCCTCTGTGTCCTGGTGAACCCACCCGGACAGCCTGCCGTAAAGTGGCCAAAGCTGAGGCGATACGGCACAGAGGTGGGGGCTCTGGGGCCAGTCGTCCCGGCTTGCGGCCCAGCACCACCCCTTACTATGAGCAAGATGGTGTCTCTCTGTGCCTCAGGCTCTTTGTCTGTGAAATGGGGATGATGCCACTGCCCACTTCAAAGAGTTGTTGTGAGAATGAAACGAACGTAAAGCCCCTGGTGCCTGGACCATAGTAAGCTCTTGTTTCTGAATAGCTTGATTCTGCTGTTCACTAACTTTTCTGGAACAGTTACTTACCTCTCAGCCTCAGTTTCCTCTCCTATAAAATAGGACAGCAACGTCAATGTCAACCCCCTTATCTTCCTTCCCTAACCACACACCTTACAGAATTAACTCTGTAAGTCACAGAAATCTTTCCAGCACTTCTATTCTCTAAAACACGCACCCCTTATTCACTGAACTTTTTATACAGGTCAGAGAGAGGAAGACAAAAAACCAAAAATCAAACAAAAACCGTCCTCAGAGCTAAAATGCAGTGACATCATCTACACGCAGGTTGCGTTTGTGTATCGGACAGCTGCCCACATCACAGAGACTGCACCCAAGGCGAGAGGTCCGGCTACCCCCGAGCTCTTGAAACTGCACAGCCAGGAAACACGTCAGTGCAGCGCTTAACAGCACAGACTTGGGCACCGCACAGCCCAGGTTCACCTTCTTGCTTTGTCATTTTATGACCCAGGACATATTACCTAACCTCTTAAATACCCCGTTCCCTTCTTCTAAAGCGGCAGACTGGAGCTACCCACACAGGACAGCCAGGACGATGAGTGAACAATGCGGAGCAAGCACTCAGCACAACGCTCGGCGTGTAATGAGTAGCCATCAGTACTGCCGCGACCTATGCACAGACTCGAAACTACATTAACCCAGAACTGTTGCCTTTTATTTTTAGACAATTATTTCACCGACAAGCACAGTAAGGGAAACAGAACCAGTCCTCGCCAGAGATGAGCCAAAGAGCACTGGAGCCAGAATGCACTGGAAGCAAGGCCTGGGGGACGTGCAGGGCCCCATGTTCTGGAATGTGTGCGCCCTGGAGGAAGGACCTGGCCTGCCACTCCCCACAGTCCTGCCTGAGCTCGCTGCCAGCTGGGCCAGGCAAGACAGCTCCCTGCCCATTTCCAAAGCAGGCTGGCAGGCCGTGGGCAGCAGGCCACGGCCAGAGGCTGCAGGTGTGTCAGCCAAGAGGGCAGCCATCCACGCCCCTTATCCTAAAAGAGTCGGCACGCACGCTGAGACGGCCGTGGGCCAGGCCAGCAGAACCAGCAAGGTGCCCCATGAGACAGGGGAGAAGGTCCCAGCTGCAACCAAGGGCAGCTGCCACAGGCCAGGAAATCACCACCAGAACAACATTCCTCACTAACTGCCCCCAACAGTCTATACAACTGACAGAAAAAACTGCCACAGAACTCCAGTGAACCAGCAAACTGCAGGTACTATCTTCAAAATCAGATGGAGGCTGTACACAAGGATCTTGACTTTTACCTTGAGACTCTTTTCAGTAAGCTGTGGTGCCCAGCCTGAAGTGTTGATCCCACTTTACAGATGGGGAAACTGAGGCCCAGAATGGAGCAATCCCACAGCAAGTTAAAGGCAGAAGCAGGATTGGACCCAAACACTGGCAGAAGTTCTCAAATCCCACTACCCACAGAATCTCCTGATGGGCTTCAGTGGGGAAGTGAGGACACTGCATTTCAACAGACACGGGGACGTAAGCAAACACTTGTGCTGACACGGGCCCCACGAAGCTCTTTCTCTAGACGGCTTTGTTGGGGAAGGGGGAGACATTTTTAAAGTTCTCTTCAGGGAAAATGGCAGAATAACCCCAGCAGTTATTCTACAGGATGACTTATACCTCATAGCTTAGAATCACAATTAAACCACAATTAAAATAACAGTGACCAGTGGACTAATCTCAAGCTTAAAGGAAAAAGTAGGAGAGAAAAAAAACCCCAAACCTGCATCTGCTCCAATAACCCGGTCAGGGTTTGCAGCCAGGTCATAGTTTGAACATACTGCTCTGTGTTCATGATTTTGAGCTCAGATCTTAATTCTGGGATGATTGCACCAGTTCGCCAGCCATGCTTCAGAGTCAAGTCCTGATTGCAAAGATCACAAAAAGTCAACATTAATCTCAACAGAACTTAAACCATTTCACCACCTTTCCCAGATGCAACAGGCATTCATTGGATTACTCCTTAATTGTAATGGTTAGCTATTAACCAAGCTGAATTCAACAAATTACATCTAACTAAAGCCAATTTAGCCCCAGGCTTTGACCATTTCACCCTAAGAAAGTTTCTGTAACAGAAATAACTGCTATGAATCCCAGCCCCTACAGAAACACAGGATCTGGCATCGTTAACCACAGTCTGTAAAACTACATTAGGTCAGGGACAGAAAAAAGCTCAGCTGAGATGTTCCTGAAGGTCTTCACTCAGTTCGTCCACAGAGCACTGGGCAACACCCACTGCGTGCCAGGCCTTGTGAGTTATGGGGAACCACAGAATCTCAGACTTGGAATGGTCACACAATGTCAACATACATGATCGTGTTTTCATTCCAAACATGGCAATCCCACGATTTGACAATAGGCCAGTATACCCAGTATCAGTGATGTCCCAGGAAATCTAAGCTATACAATCATCATACTAAATGGTCATTAATGTTCTCACTTGGCAAACATTTACCAAATATTACAACTTGCCAGGCCCTGGCCAAATACTGAGGATAAAATAATGAACAAAACTAACAAATCCCTGCTCTCATGGGAAATACAGACAAAAAATAAGCAAGTAAATACACAGTGCAGGTGGTGATAAACACAATGGACAAAAATCCAGCAGAATAAGAGGGAAAGGAGTTACCATTTTATACAGTGTGGTTAGGAAGACCAGGCTGATAAAGAGAGATGGGATTAGAGACCTGAAGGGAAGGAGAGTAAAAGTATGCAAATACATGGGAGGAGAAAAATTCTGGCTGGAAAAACAGCAAGTACAAAGGCCCTGGGGTAGGAACATGCTGGGAGTGGGATGGGTTAAGAAATAGCAAGGCCCAGGGGTGCGGGGGGCAGAGTAGGAGAGAGGGCAGAGGCAGGAGGTGCCTTCAGAGAGGGAGGCTGGGGAAAGAGATCAAGCAGGGCCTTGAGGACAGCTGTAAGAAATTAAGCTTTTACCCTGAGGGAGAAAGGGATGTTTTTAAGAAAAGAGATTTTAAGGGTTTTAAGGAGAAGAGTGGTATATAGTTTACTATTTTGAAAGTTCACTCTGGCTACTCACCTCAAGCTAGAAACCCGGCTCTGTAAGTCCTAAGAGTGTCTACCTTCTCCAGTGGTTGAATTTCTTTAAACCTTTCAATAGTTCTCTCTGTCCTATAATATATGAAACCCTACACACAGCACACTCTTTTAAATAGTCCCAATGGTGGCAAACTTTTGAAGGTGGACCTTATTTCTGAAAATAAGTACAAAGTCCTCTGGAGCACTCCGAAGACTAAAGTACATGGTAATAAATTAATAATAATAAAACTCATTTTCTCCTTTGCCCCAAACCGGCTCTCAAATCTATCCCAAAGAGGGCACCAAAATGCATTTTGAGAAACAGCAGCAACACTGAATGCAGCAACATTCCTAAGGTCATCCCCCTGAAGGGTAACAATCTTCACTGTCCACATAATTTCTGACAAGTTGATGAATTAGTCTCACCACTTTACAACAGTGGTTTCCAAACTTTAGCATGGCATCCAACTATATGCTGTCTACAAGACACTTATTTTAAATCTAAGGACACACATCAGCTGAAAGTGAAAAGATTAGAAAAGAAATTCCACACACAGAGTAACCAAAAGAAAATAGAGGTGGCTATACTGATATCAGACAAAACAGTTTTTAGGTCAAAAACTTACAAGACACAAAGAATGACATTATACAATGATAAAGGGGTCAGTTCACCAAAACTATACAACAACTATATGTGCACCGAACAGCAGAGTTCCAAAATATATGAAGCAAACATTAACAGAACTGAAGGGAGAATAGACTGCTCTACGGTAACAGCAGGAGACTTCAATACCCACTTTATATAGTGAATAAAACCACCAGACAGAAGATCAAACAGGAAGTACAGGACTCAAGCAACACTAAAACCCAATCAGACCTGACAGACACATACAGAACTTCACCGAACAAAAGCAGGATACACATTTTTCTCAAGTGCACACAGAACATTCTCCAGGATAGACTGTATGTTAGGCCACAAAACAAGTCTTAATTTTAAAAGACTAAAATCATACAAAGTATCTTTTCTGATCACTAGGAATGAAACTAGAAATCAACAGCAGAAGAAAAAACCAAAAAATTCAGAAACATGGAACTTAAACACCACATTCTTAAGCAACCAGTGGGTCAAAGAAGAAATTAGGAAATACCTTGAGACAAATTAAAGTGCAAACACAACCTACCCAAACTTCTGGGATGCAACAAAAGCAGTGCTAAGAGGGAAATTCATAGGTACACCAAAATAAAAATAGAAGAAAGCTCTCAAATCAAAAACTTAACTTTATACTTCAAAGGATCTAGAAAAAGAGGAATAAACTAAACTGAAAGCTAGCAGGACAAAGGAAATAACAGAGACCAGAGCAGAGATAAATAAAACAGAGAATACAAAAACAACAAAGAAAATCAACAAAACCACAGTTGGTTCTTCAAAAAGATCAACAAAATTAAGCTTGACTAAGAAAAAAAGAAAACTCAAATTACTAAAATCAGAAATGTAAGTGGTGACACTACCAATTTGACAGAAATAAAAAGGATTATTAAAGAAAAGTACTGTGAACTATTGTATGCTAACAACCTGGATAAAATAGATGAAATGGACAAATTCTCATGAACACACAACCTACCAAGACTAAATCATGAAGAAACAGAAAATCTGAACAGACCTCTAACTAGTAAGGAGATTGAATCAGCAAGCAAAACCTTTCCATCAATGAAATGCTGAGGACCAGATGGCTTCACCAATGAACTCGACCAAACACATAAAGAAGAATTAACACCAATCCTTCTCAAAGTCTTCCAAAAACTAAAGAAGGAACACTTCCTAACTCATCCTATGAGGCCAGCATTACCTGATATCAAACGTAAGTGAGAAAGACTGCTGAGAACACAGACAGCTCGACCCCACCCCGAGAGCTCCTCAGCAGGTCTGGGGCGAGGCTGATCATTTGCGTTTCCAACTAGTTCCCAGGTGATGCTGATGTCACCGGGACTGCACTTGACGAACTACTGCTTTGTAAGCACTTCTCACAGTGCTAAGACCTGTATGTGCGTGTCTCCCCAGGGCCACGTACCCATGTGCCTCAAGGGTGGCACACAGTGAGCCACCTCCTCAGAGCCTGCAGACCACACAGCAAGAGGTCAATGCTTGTGATGCTGCATTGCCTGGCTGAACTCTGGGGGTGCCAACATCCTAAGAGGAGCACTTTACATTCCTACTTTACTACGCACTTTTGTATACATTACCTTATTTCACTCTCCTTACAAACAAGGACATCAGGGCTTGAGGGAGGTGCCCAAGGTTACAGAGATAATGACCAGCAGAGATGGGATGAAAACCTCAGTTTTCTAAGTCTGAGCCCACGATTCCTCCCACTAGGCCTCCAGCCACTGGACAGACAGGATTTTGCGGCGTGTGTGCCGGAGTCCCTTGGGAAGAAGGTCACTAGACACAGGCACTGGGATCGCCCTCTACCTCCACCACCTCTGCAAATTCGGGCTCCATGGCCCTCAGAGGGGCTCGGGCACGTGTGCTCTGGCCGACAGCCAGCAGAACCAGAGGAACACAGACGTGCACAGATGGGGCAGGTCCCGCTTGCACCAAAATTCTCGGAAATATCAACAGTGGAGTCTGACAGCCAGACACAACCTGACTCCTGTCACCCCCGTGACACTGAGCTTCACTCAGACTTTGCGAGACGTGTCCTGTGCAAGCTTGCTTGGAATCACTTACAAACATAAATTCATTCCATAAGGAACCAAGTGTGGTAGAAATGTGACTAACTCAATCTTGCTCCAGTTACAGACTAAATCATAATTCAAGTCCTGAGACACTCGTCATTCCAAGGGGCATGAAAAGCCTTGTTTTCACATAATAGCTATTTCCTGGAAATGCCATTTTGTGCTCTTTCAAAATGACTGGCTGGAAAAAGAAACCCTGACTGATGTTTATGAGCTTTTATGGTGCATTTGTATGTTTCTGAAGCTTAATAATAAAAGGAAAAGCAAAGAACATTGGCATTATTTCTTACCATTACTCAAATGGAAAGATTTTTTTTTCTGATAAACTCAGTAAATTGCTCATGTCATCATTTCCAAATAAAATTATCTTTTTCATGACTGATCAGTAAAAATGAGACATTAAAAAAAAAAAGTGGCCCACTCCTTGGCTTTTTTGAAAGCATGAAAATGGTCTTGAACAAAAGATAATTTCCTAATAAGTGGGCCTAACAGTATCTGTCCCCAGCAAAAGAAACAGGAAGAGAAGTTCCTCACCGCCAGGTCACTGTATATATGGTCACCAAAATACAAGACTTTAGATCCCCTCCATCCAGTAAGCTTCAAAAATTCATATAAATTGCCCTGCAATAACAGAAAAAATATAGGTATATGATAGTAAGACAGAGACTTGTATAATCCATGGCCCAGAACATCTACTTTTTTAAACTTGAAAAAAAAAAGGTTTTTGCTTTTAATTTCAAATATCAAAATATTAACGTAAAAAACACCTTTTTGTGAAATATTTCAGACCTTTCTTCTAAGTCAGATGTCCTTTTCAAAAAGAATTCATACTATATATACCTCTTTGTAATTAACTTTTTTTACATTTAACATTCTGTGACCATGTCAATATTCACCTGCTACCTAAATTTAGCAGCTGAGAACCACCATGATTCATTTTACCAATTCTCTGATGTTGGACACTTACCTGGTTATCTATTTTGTAACTTCATGATAAATATTCTTACAGCAAAGTTTTAGCTACATCTTAATAATTTTGTGAGGCTCACTTCCCAGAAGTGGAGTGGCTGTATCAAAGCTGATCTTTTAAGGCTAGCTAAGAAAGAACACTTAGTGCCAAATCCAGAAATGTATCAGTATTAAAAAAAATTGTACAGTATTGAATAGCACTGTTTTCTGTAATTTTATAAATATTACACAAATATAACAATTTTTAAAGAATGAGATATAAAAACAGTAACTTCAGTAACACAATAATAGTCTGCAATTCAATCATTTACTCAAACAATGAGAGCATTCTATGATACCAAAATATATCAAAACTGAACATAAAACACAGCTATCAGGAAATTATTACTAATTTGAATGAAATGCCATGTGATCAAATGCTTCTAAAGAGAAATTTTCAAGGTTTACTACTGGCATCTTAAATTTTATATCTTATGGAAAAAATGCATTGAATTTTGTTTTTAAAAACTGTTCCATTCTGAGTTAACTCAGACAAAGCCCACTGAAAACACATTGACTTAAGCTTAAATTCCGCCACCAAGCTATAACCAGTCAGTTCCGGCAGAGCACCGGGAACCACACCTAGCACACAGACAGCCTCAGCCAACGCCAGCTGTTATCATCAGAACTGATCACAGAGCACAGCGACAAAAGGACAGATTGGTCATGAGATACCTGTTTGTAAATCTGGCCTTTCTGCAACTTGTGGATTTTATCCCAGAGTAAGACGCCTTTCTCATTCACCTTTCGGAAAGGTCTACCAACAGAAACAGGAAACATTATGACACGCGGGAGCTGTGCAGGCTGTGGGCTGTATGAGAAACTACACAGTTACCCCCCGAAAACGGAAAGGAGCATCACAAACCAAAACCAAAACCCTGCCACCCGTTCCCTGGCCTCATGCAATACACCCCAAACTGCGGACCCTGCTATACAAAGGAGTTTAGTGAAGAAAGAACTCCAGGGTCAAATAAATTTGGAAAACACTACGCACTATACATGTCCCTCTTTAAAAGTTACTGATGGCTCCGAAAAGCCTGCTTATAAAGAAACTTCCTTTAACCCAGAGTTCCCAAACTGGTTTGACCGTGCACAAAAAAAGCTTATGGAAATAAAGCTTAGTACATTTATCTAGCTTTGCACTTGAAATTCAAGCATTCTAGATATAAACCACATCAGAGAACCGGGCATTTTATTTTACGATGGGGTGTAAGACTAAAGGCCTCGTTTCTCACCCTGGAGGTACTAATCCAAAAAAACAAGGTTTGTTTGTCCTTTTTCATTTTAAGGCAACATTTATTTGGATTGCATTTCTGGTTAGAAAAATACAAACTCACTGCAAAAAATTCTGGAAAATACAGAAAAATAAGATGAAGAAAAGGAAAATCACCCATAATTCCAGTACCCAGGTAGAAACACCATTTCCATGGCTTTCAGTCTTTATATATCTGTTATCTTTCTCTTTTCTATGAATTAAAATGAGGATCAGTTGTGACATATATCTTCTTTCCTCCAATGCTGTGAGCAACTTCCCCTGTGATTAGGGGGTCTTCATACATCACTTTTTACAGTCATAAAACAATTTCATTGCATTTTTTTCCAAATACCATACTCTTAATAACTGCATAATATCCCCTCATTAGGAAGTTCCTTTAAGTTGTCTCCACCCTTCATCATTATAAATAACACCAGGATGAACACAGGTGGAGGATTCTTAACCCAGGCACCTCGAGTGAGGGAGAGAGCTGTGCTGGGACCCCCGGGGAAAATAATCTAAGGCACTGCTCTGCCACTGTTACAAACATGACAAAGTGGAGGAGGTTGTGGTGAAAGGAGAGATGTGGCCCTTCCCCTGACCACCCCCTGGAATCTAACAAGAAAACGCAGCAGAGCGTTTTATCAGTGACCAAGCAGCAAGCCAGTGTTCACAGCTGGTTTTGATCAACACTCTAGCTTTTCCTGCATTCTCTTGAATTCTCAGTCTCTGCACACAGTTCTTGGGTTTGCCTCCTCTTCCAGGAGTCACTGTGACACTTGGAAAAGCGGAATTGAGCATCACAAGAGGAATTTAGCCCACTCAACACTAACTACAAGGCACCAAATTATGATGCTTTTAATCACCTAGCAGAGAGGAGGGGAAAGCTGCATGACTACCAACCGCAAAATAGAGAAATGTGGGCAAAAGCGTTTCAAAAGCAGGCCATTATGAAACAAACACGAATTATTCTTATAATTCTAGTGCAGTTAACTCTCAATACTACTGACATTTGGCAGGGATGAGCTCTTGGTGAACTGGTCTGTCCCACAGGTTATAAGACATTTTAGGACCCCTGACCCCAAGTCACTGTATGCTAAGAGCACACCCAGTTACCATCACAACCCAAACTTCCCCATTCCTCTATTTCCCAAGGCTACTGTGGCAGAAAGGCTTCATCGAAGTTTTGGAGAGATTTACTCCACTTGATGCAAAACCTGTGTTGCAGAGAACTTTTGCAAAATCCCACCGCAATCATCAATGCACCATTCAGAGCTCTATTTAAAGAGATACGCATGGGGGGCGGGGTGCTTGTTGCTGTTGTTTTGTTATGCTTCACAGCGTGTCTGCATCATGAGATCTAATTTACTGTGTTGATATTAAGTTTGGATTATTCATTGCTGTCGATCGTTTTCTTAAAGCTGAACTCACTGAAGCAGCCTGTGTTGAATTACACCATTTCAATAGGCACAAGCTGTCTGCTATGTACTAATCCCACCTTCCTTGCAATTACTTGCTTGAAGGGTTAAAAATCAAAAGCTATAATGTTAGGTGCTTGTGATTTTCCAGTTGGATTTCATCTAGACAAATAAGTATTCACAGCAGCAAATGAAGAAAATCTAGACCCTGGAAAGACAGACACTTACCTCCGCTTATCATTAAAGAAGTTTGGCTTCTCGGCCTGAACAATGACCACATCAAACAGGTCCCTCCAGTCTTTTCCGACAATATACCTCATCCCTTTGTCCCTAGAACAACATGCCAGCCGGTTAGTCTAAGGTTAAAGGGGTTAACCATTCTTGTGACTTTTTCTTCCAAATTTCTAGCTTCTAAAATACACAGAATACAGGAAGTGAGCCCGAAGCCAGCAAGTAAACGCAGAAGAACTTACACAAAGCTGCTGGGGCTATTGGTGATGAGAAACATCTTCTTGCCGTGATCAGCCAGCTTGGCCAACACCGCGCGGGTCTGCTCGGCGTAGCAGACATACTTATCTAAGAGCAAGAGAAAAATGAACACTCAGATCCAGGGTGAAATCAGTCCGTGTGCAAGCGCTTCCTAAGTGGGGCAGGCGGGTCCAGCACCGCCTGCGGCAGCTGGGGGAAGAAAAGCCTTCAGGAAACTTGATTCAGAGAGGTGTATTGGTACCCAGTGCATCCGTAACCAAGACCCTGTTCTCCTTAGTCTAAGTGGAAAAACCTAAGTGGCTGCAGCTGCCAGCTCCTCTCCTTTTGAGCTGGGATTATGTCAAGTTCTGAGACAAAGGGGAGGGAGACAACTGAGATACAAGGATGCAAAGTCCTTGCACTGTACTCAGGAGAGGTCCTGCAGCCCCTGCTCAGCGCGTGGAGTGAGAGTAAAATGCCTGCAGGATGACCCAGCAAAGGGAAAGGCTGGTCTACACGATAACGTCGGGTACGTACCAATGTCTGCTTCGATTGCCCTGTACATGATTCCTTTGATGTGCACGTCCCGAATTGCATCCTGTCAAGAGAGACATTTTCTATCAGTCAGAGAACAGCTAAGATCGCCTGAGCGCAAGTGAAACGGCATTTGGGATAACGTCTGCCTGCTGAAGGCAGACAATCCGAGCACTAAATGAAATTCAAATTCCGGTCCGTTTATCAGAGACAGCCCCTTGGGAAGAAACTTAAGTTTCCATGGTGATAGCAGCAGTTTCCAAAGCAACTTTCAAGAGTCACTTAGAGGAGAAGAATTGGTGTGAACAATTCTGAAAAGAGCCCCACAGGATGAACAGTAATTTATATGCAGTATCACGAACAAATGATTCCAGGTCATGCGGACAAAGGGAATTACTGCTCTTTTCATCTTTGCACCCTTCTCTAGACCCCAACAGCAGGTTCTGTGATCTAGAAAAAGAGGCAGAGGCCAATGATGGGAGCCTCTTCTCAGTGCTACCAGACAGGCGAGGAGCTGTTAAGGAGCTTTCAGGTCAGGCTGAGACGCGGTCCAGCTGGCAGACGCAGGGAAGCGCCCAGGGATGCAGCAGCCAGACGCCTGGCAGATATCAGAGCACAGCCCCTCTCAGGTGGCTCTGAGGAGGCGGGAACTCCTGGAGGCCCAAGGAAACTTGCTGGCGCCTGTAGCAAAGGACTGGGCTGCAAGAAAATCTGGGCCATAAGCCTTCAGAAATTAGCAGAAGCTTACTGCCAGGAATGAGCACCTTTGCAATGGAAGCTCACCCTCCATCACCTGCCAGCACAGGCCTCTTTCAACTTCACATCAGCAGAAGGCAGAGGTTAAGAGCAAGCTGGAGCCCAGCTTCCAGGCCTGGAATCCAAGCTCTGCTCTGTACTAGCTTGTATGCCCTTGGGCAAGTTACTCAACCTCTCTGTGCCTCAATTTCTTTATCTGTGTAAAATGAGCGTGATACCACCTCAAGGCATGATTGTGAGGATTTAATTAGTTAGTATGGATAAACAATTCAGAAAAGTTGTGCCAGGAACACAGGAAACTACATGAGTTCGCTATTAGTGGTAATAATACTTAGAGTAAAAACAGAACTTTCTAGTAAATGTCTTTCCTCATGAATGCAAAGGGTTATTACATAACTACAAGTGATTCTTAGAGACGAAGTATTTGTGTGAGCAAAAAGAACAGAAACTAAATATTTAAATAGAGTTCAAATAACAACAGACATACTGAGAAACTATAATTCATCCTATATCTTCCTAAAACCCATGATTCAGGGCAGTCAATATTTAAAATGAGTCTTAAATACATAATAAAAACATTACAGTTTGTAAATATGGATCTTTTTATATTACATCTAAATAGATGCTTAAATATATTTATTAGAAATAAATGAGAATATCCACAAACACACGTGAACATGAATGCAAATTTTAAAACATACACAAAGTTGTATAAATGGTGTGTGTATATATGCACATGGAAATTCAGATGACAGTACAAGTAACCTCTTCTTTTAACAACAAATTTGACTGATGTCCAGTTCTCCTAACATACAACAGCATCACGACCCCCACTGTCGACCCCACCTTGACATCTTTGTACAGGTGAACAGGCTCGTAGTCAATGTTGTTCTTGAGAAAGTACTCGTTCACACAGGACAGCAGTGTCATCTCGGGCAGGGAGAAGATGTCCATGAACTGCTTCATGGTATTCCCATGAGAACTCTGCGGGCAGGGCGGGACACGTCAGCACCAGAGGCAACTCCGCAGCAGAGCCAGACTGTACCTCCACCCGGGGTGCTGGTGGTCAACCCGGCTCCCTCCCCCAAGAAAGGGAAAATTCTAGCAATAAAAAGCTAACAGTGTTCGCCTTGTTTCTTGTCATTCACGGCACAGCTGACTCTCTCCAAGCATAGCTGAAATAGCCAAGCCCTGACTCCCTCCAAAGTCTAACCACCCTTCCTTTCCACACTCCTCCATCCCACTTCCAGACCACACTCTTTCATCAAGCATAGAGGAAAGCTGGCACATTGATTCTTGGACATGGAATGGCATAAAAAGCCACTGAACTCTCCTGAATGTGAGCCCCCCACAGACAGCCCACATGGGAGCTTAGAAAAGAGTCTTTTCTGAATGCCTTCGACTTACACTGAGTTTACCAGCTGACTAGGCATCTTCCTTGCATTCTGACAATGCAAACAAGACAGCACATCTAACAGGATAAGAAACAAAAATTCTGAGAGCAAAGAGGACCACAGAATTTAGAAAGGGAGAGTATAGCACAGGGAAATATATACGAGATCTTATGGTAGCTCACAGTGAAAAAAAATGTGACAATGAATATATATATGTTCATGTATAACTGAAAAATTGTGCTCTAAACTGGAATTTGACACATTGTAAAATGACTATAACGCAATAAAAAGATGTTTAAAAAAAATTAGACAGGGAGAGGTTTCCCTGAGGCACAGGGTACCTGCTGCCCTTAATCTCAGGGGAGGCGACAGCTGCCACGCTGACGACCCCCAGTGACTTAATCCAGAAGGTGGAGACACACCAAGGGAGGTGGCAGCAAACTGGGGTGGGTCTTATGAAGGTGTGAGAAGCCTTCATCGGCTAGGGGCAAAGGGCTGAAAAACAAGCACTTTCATGAATGAACCCAGAGGCGACCAACAGACTAATTTCTCCCAAATCGAGGGTCTCTCAAAACTGTCCCAAATTCTCTTATCAATTTCCTGTGAGCAGCCAGAGAGTCAAGCGGTTCAAGATCCAAAAGCTCCCAGGCCAAGTTTTGAGAAGGAAAAAGACAGGCTGCTTTAATAAATAAGTAACGTCTCAGTACCTTTCCGTAGAAGTCGCTCATCTGCTCCAGAGGCACGTGGGAGCCCTCGTACATCTCAATGACTTCTTCATCGGGGACCACACTCAGGCCTCTGGGGAAACCACAGGCAGGGCAGTTAGCGTCAACCAGAGAGAGCAATGGTGAGACTTCCAGCAACGGCTGGGATTTCTCAACTGGGGTGCGAGACACTGTTGTCACAAGGAGGTGGGATGTGCCACCATGGTACCTGCTACGAATAGCAGGCGAGGTGCTGCTATTGTGATTACTACCATTCTGCGGGTAAGCCAAGCAGGGGAAAGGGTAGCTGATGCCGCGCGGCACCTGCCGGTGCAGACAGGAAGGCCACACAGTCATTCACGTCACTCTCAGCAGTCCTCGGAGGGAGCCACTATCATTCTTCCCATTTTCCAGCAGAAGCAACCGAGGCACAGAAAGGTCATGACCCTGCCCGCGGTCATCGAAGTAGAAAGTGGTGGGTCAGGACTGGATCCCAGGCCTTCTGGCTCCAGGCCCCTGGCTCTTCAATCCCCACATCACACTGTCTCCTTCCGCAAGGTGCAAGGCCTCCTAATGCCTTGCCTTGGGTGGGTTTTTGAGGGGTTTTTTTTTTTTGATGTTTTTAATACATCGGGGAGAGAAAGGCTTTTTCTGTCTCCATCATCCTCCTGCCTCTGACACTACTCTAAGAAGGTCAGTGATGAGGTAGAAGAGGTCACGCACCAGGCTCAGGTGAACTAAACCCCGTGACGCAGGCAGGACGCCTGCCACCGCCTCTGGGATGAATGGCCGCACGTGCATGGAAGGCCAGTTTCCCCGTCCGTAAGGAGTCAGGGTAACATCCACCCCTTGCCTGCCTCCAGGAGCTGCAGCAGAATTCACAGCAGAACCTGCAAATGAATCCAGCTCCTCCACACAGAGGGAAAAAAAGAAGGCTGGAGCCTGAGTGGCCTGGCTTCTACCCTTGCCTCTGCCACCAGCGCCGCGAGCAGGTACTTCCACCTGGACCTTGACGGTCTCGGATTTCCTCACCTGGAACCGCCCCTCTAGAATCTTATGAAGGGAGATGTCTGTTCCCCCACTCACTTCTCTAGAGGAGAAGGCACCTAAGAAACAGGCACCAGGGGTGAGGGAACCACAAAACGAATAGTGGGAACACCACGCTGTGCTACAGCGGGACTGTAAATAATACAAACAGGCTGCTTATACAAAATCTCTTGGCCAAGATTAAAATACATATAAAATAAAATTTATGTTTGACACGTAGCTTTAATGAAAGTATCATTTCAGCCTTCTCCTTCTCCACCCTTATCTTACTTTGAAAACTATCTAAGAGGATTCACTGAGGTTTTGCCCCCGACCTTGATTAACCTGTAACAACTACTGGCCTTTGAAAACAACACAGCACTGAACTTCCCTTTGTCTCTGCTCCAGAAATCAGACACCAAGACTAAACCAGATCATTCAAGACAGTGACCTTGGAAAAAAGCTCTTGCTACAGTAGCAGCAGTCAGGGGTGAACACCCCTACGACTCTAACCCTTTGAAAGAGGATATAAAAATCAAAGGGATTCTGCTGGGTGAGTTACTTTTCTGCCCCCAGACTAGGCACTGCCTAGTCCTTGGGAAGCCATGCTACCTCTAAGACATATCCACAGGCACGTGGCCACAAGAGCTGCGTCATGAAGACCGAAGTAACCAAATGTCAGCAGCTCAAGAGACACGGTGAGCTCAGTGGGTCACAGTCAGCTGAATTCTGCAAGAGGCCGTGCCCACAGCACACGGAACGGCTAGAGACAGGCTCGGGCAGACAGCGCATCTGAATGTGGCCTCAACCAGCGCTGAAATCAAAACAAAAATTATCTTACACGACCCTGTGTGCTTATGAGGGATAGCACTAAGCAGGCTGGCCATCACCTCCAGAGCCCAGAGCCCTCCAGAGAGCTCCCTTACGGTCTGGGCACACGTCCATCATCTCCTGGGTCGCTCTGCAAGGCGCTTACTGATGAGCTTACTTGGGTGGCTTCCCACCGACACCCCGAGTTCCTTGAGGACATCCGTACAAGCCAAAGCATTAGCATTTAACATGGTAATGGGCCTGATAAATGCTCTTGAAAGAGGGAAGAATGGGTAAATGAATGAATGGTTCACAGATACAAACACTGCAACCCTCCCCACCCCTAAACAGTCAGTGGGTTTTGAAACTCAAAGCCACTTGGTTACTTTGGGTGAATCAAATTTACCTCCTCTTACTCTTACCTGTAAACAGTTCCTAGCTGGATGTAATGAAAAGCATCGATCTTCATCAACACCGCCTTCAAAGACATAAGCACATCCACAGATAAATAATGCACAACAATTCGCATATTTAATGAGAATTCCAGGTGTCACTGTAAATCCTACCAACATTAAGTTGTCGTAAACAATGAAGCCCACTGTATGATTCTGAAAGGTTTGCTTGCTGATTTAAGAACTGTGCAACTCATTAAGGAAATGGCTTGTCTGAAGAAAAAGATATGACAACCAGATCCTCCTCAAAACATCAAAAATGGCTACTGGGAATAAGCCGTATCTCCCAGGGGCTAAACGCCTTCATGCTCTTCCAGCACAGTCTCTCAGAAAAGACTTCACCCAAAGATGTTTTGGGTAACTTAGTTCTGCAGCCCCAAAGAACATAATTTAAAATCCAATACAGCACCAGAGGAAAGGAAAAGCACCAGAGTACATTTTGTTCCCAAACAAGTGAAACTGTAGAAAAACATGAGAATCAAACCTACCCGCTGCACGTCGTAATGAAGTCCACGAATTGCAAAGTTTGGGTCGTACTCATACTTCCTGATTTGCACGGGATACTAGGAAGGAAGAAAGGAAGGAACACGTCGCAGCTAACGATGTACGAAGTTCCAGACAGCGTCCACATCTGGCCCTTGTATGAAGGCCGAGGTGGCTGGTGCACTCTGATGGAAGCTGGGGTCAGAAGGGACAGACCACAGCTCGCCCCTCTACTTCCAGACCAAGAGCCTCCTGGCCGCAGAGCCCTCCCTCCTGCCCATCCCACTCCCTGTTTATCTGCCCCTGCACAGGTGAGGCCTCATCCCAACTTCTCCAGCCTTAACTGCCCCCTGCCCTCAGCAATCAGTACAGCCTCCCTCCCACTCAGGTCTAGAGACACCCTCTCTCAGTGCATGGCTCCCAGTTACAGCTCCAAGGCTGTTTCAGAACACAGCTTGGCTTCCCCGCTATTTTCTAGTCCTGTCCCTCTTCCTACACAAAAATCCCAGCCTCCTGCTTATTCACTGCAGCAGGCATCAAAGTCCTTCCCTTTCTCCCCAAATCCCAGAATTAGAACACCAGTAACCCGCTGATAGCACCAGTGTACCGAGCTGCACAGCAGGACCCACCAAGCCCATTTTACAGATGGGACACCAGAGGCTCCAGATGAAACCACCTGGCCTGGGCCACACAGCGTGGGTGCAGTAGGGCGGGCAGTCAGGTCCCCCCACCCCCCTCTGCCCTCAGAGCACAGACCTGAGGACAGAACATCCATTCCTGAGTCTGGGGAGGCTGCGTCCCCGGGATCTTCCAATCACGATGTAAACGGCTCACCTAAAATCCTAGACAACTAACCACTGGTGCAGGAAATCTCTCCGTGTGGCTGCCCTGCTAACTCCTCACGCACGGCCAGGGTCACGTGTGTGCCAGAACACTTCCTGGGCCCACCAGGCTGAACCACACGCAGCAAGTTTTCAAGCTAAGCTGCAGGAAGCACTGAGTCAAACGTCACATTTGGGCTCTTCTATCTATCACCTGCCATGTGTGCCAAGAAATCATTCAGTGCTATTTTCACTCCTGGGTGCTTCCAAGAATTCTGCACACTGTGGATGGTCCTGCATTTTTACCAACATACACCACACACACACACCACCAACACACAGCACCACGGTCCTGTTTCCTTAAGTGAGGTCAAGGAACTTCCCACTTCTAGAATCTCCTTTTAAACTCAGGAGTGATGAATAAGCGGTAGGACAGGAGGAAGAAATTTAAAACGAGGCGCGAGGGAGAGGCATTCTCCCTGAGCCATGGCCACGTGCCATGTACTGTCCCAGGTGCATTATGCAACTTTATTTCCTGCTCACAACAGCAACACGAAGCCGAATGATCACAGGAGTAGAGTCAAGGAATTTGCCTGGGCTCACAAAGATAAATAATGGTTGGGTCAGTACTTGAGCCCAGGTCCGTGTCACACCCACATCCACCTCTAACCGTCCTGTAATCAATTCTGAACGCACCCCGAGCCCCACACGACACGCTCTTCGCTTCTGCGACAGCAGGTGCTGAGTTTGCGGGAAGGATTCCCAGGCACCGGGGAGCTGGCTGGTTCAGCTGAGAGACGGGGCGTGAATACGAGGAAGAGCATCCGTCTCTGCACGGGGACCGCTAGAAGTCTGGCAGCTCCTTTCCGAACAAGGCTCATCCGGGCTCCCCAGCAGGACACAGATGACACAAGGAGACATGGCTCCGCTCCCACTCACGTACCCTGCCTGTCACTCTCCCTGTGTGTTCTCAGGGGGCCACTCCTGACGGAGCCACCATGTTTTTCAAACAGTCCAGAGACTAGAGAGGACGACCCGGAGAACTGACAGAAGCAGCCAGAAGAGCCTCGACAGGACAAAGTGGTGATGAAGAAACAGGCTCCGGTGCTGAGGGACCAGGTGTCAAATCCTAGTCCTACCATGTGCTGGCCAGGTGACCTTGGGCAAGGTCATCTGTCTCTCTGAGCCCCGGTTTTCTCATCTCCAAAGTAAGGACAACAAGAGCCCTAACGATGGGGACGCCGAGAGGATTAAGGCAAAAGACGCACCCGAGGAGTCGGGCAGCGCCCCGCACACAGCAAACGCCCCACAAGGCCAAGCTGCTCTGCTGGACCGGGAACTGGGAGGCCTGGGCTTTGGACCCACTCTCCCGCCTTTGCTCCTCCCCTGGAGGGCTTCGGGAGAGCCGCTGAACCTCCAGGCCTCTTCCTTCATATGGAAAGTAAAATGGTCGGACTGGGGTGATTTCTATGCACCACTCCCACCCCTAAGTTGTGATTCTCCATCACACACCCAGTCCTCGCGATGGCCCCTTCCCAGCGTGCGCACACGGCAACTCTGGTCGGAATACCGCCAACAGTACCATCCGGTCAAGGAAGCCACAGGCTCCCACATCAGCCAGGAGGTAACATGTGTCTCCAATGACCTATGGCTAGATTTTCTGGACTCTTCATAGTTTAGAAACTTCCCACCAGCCAGAAGAACATGACTCACCCAATGTGTCACGAAAATACCAGTGTCTCTAGAAGCAGGAAGAAATATAAACAATAAAAGACCTTTACTCGGGATTTGTATTAAAAATCTGATTTAGGCGTAGCCTGGTTTCCTTCAGTACCTGGATCTGTTCCAGTTCCAAGTGCAATCTGGACAGGCTAGTGTGTGTAGGCAAAGAAAAATCAAGGCTTCTCCCTTAAATTGCTACAGACATGTTCTTTATGGCTTCAAGCAAAGTTAATACTTAAATACTCCAGAGAACCAAGGAATTCGCCAAGAATTCTGCAGCTTGGCCACGTGGCCCCTTCCCAGATAACTACAGAGCTCTGGGTAGAGCCGGTAACCTCTACATTACAACACTGCCCGTGAGTTCCCAGGGTCCAGATGCCTGTAAATATATCCATTTTTCAGAGGTCTCAGTTTGACATTGAAAGTAACCTAAATTATGACTCTAATTAGAGGCAGGTCAGAAGGGTATAAAAACAAGTTCTCCAAAACCCACACAAACCATGAAGCCAGGGCAAAATGACCTGCATCAGAGTGGCAAGTCCCCACCAAGAACGATACTCTAGCTCATGGTGGAGCGCAATGAGTATGTCAAGTATTTACTGAGCATGTACTTTGCGACCAGGCCTGGGCACATGGCAGTGAACAAAACTGACACTGTCTCTACCCCTAAGAAGTCCCCATTCTATGGTGGGCAGGCCAACCATAAAGAAATAAACATGTGGTACAGTGCCACACAGTGACAAGTCCTACAGAAAGAATGCAGCACAGGGGTCCAGAGAGCTGGGGGAAAAAAAATGAGGAGCAAGGCTTCGGGCTGCCTGGAGCCGTGCGGGATGTTCCACACCAGAGGAACTGGCAAGTGCACGGGCCGGAAGGCGGGAGCATGCACGGCGGTTCACGGAGAACAAGGCGGCTGGTGTGGCCGGAGCAGAGCGAGGGCAGGTGGCAGGAGGCTGGGAGACCGGAGCACAGGAGGCCAATTACGTCACCCAGGTGTGATGGGAAGGCCGGAGGGGGCTCTGGGTCCAGGAGAGAGATGACTCATGTTTAAATAAAGGTTCCCTGTTGCTGCCAAATGGAGAACGGATGAAGGGGCAAGAAGAGAAGCCAGGGGACCAGCCAGGAGGCTCCTGCACCATCGGTTGGCAGGTGATGGTGGCTTGGAGCAGGGTGGTGGCAGCAGGGGAGGTGAGAAGTGGATGGAGACAAGACATATTTCGAATGAGTGAAAAGAGAGCTCACAGCAGTGCAGTGACCTCCTCCCAGAAAGCCCAGCACAGACAGGAAGAAAAGCGTAACCCCACAGTGGAAAGACCTGGCGAACACCACCTCTGCCAAATGATCATGGCCAGCATTGCGGGGGAAAGCCGGGCCAGGGGTTGCGCCCTTGGTACCATGTGGTGACGGTGACACCCCACGTCCGTGCTCCTCCTCCCCAAGTCCACAACCCCAGCCTCGACATGAGAGAACATCAGAAGAATCCCAAGAAAGCAGCAGCCTAAGAAGTACCCGACTAGTTAGTACTCCTCAAACCTATCAAGCGCGTCAAAAATAAGGAGCTTGTGAGAAACTTTCACAGCCCAGAGGAGCCCAAGGAGACAGGACATCTAAGTGCAGTGTGGTGTTTGGGATGGGATCCTGGAAAGGGACATTAGGTTAAAAACTAAAAAAACCTGAATCAAGTACAGGCTTTAGGCAGTAACAATTTATTAATATTGGTCCTTCAGTGGTGATAAAGGCACCACAGTAATGTAAAATGTTACCATTCAGGGAAACCAGGCATGGGGCATACTCTCTGCATTAGCTTTGCAACTTTTCTGTAATCCTAACACTCTTCTAAAAGGAAAGGTTTATTTTAAAAAAGAGAGAAAGAATCCGCAGCATTTGCTGAGAGATCAGAGGTAGAACAGAGGAGAGCGGGAAGGGTCAGAGCTGGTTGCTAGGCTTTGGATTTGAAAACCTGGGTGAACATCAGTGCCCACTAACAATTAGGAATGCTCACCTGTGTGAGAATCCGGGGGATAAAATCAAGAACTCCCCTAACACCCCCTTTCTACCCCTTTCTAGACGTATGAAGTGAAGACACAGGTACAGTTATTACCCGATACTTACTTCCATTTTTGTAAACACTTGTTCTTGAGGAAAAAAAAGAGAAAGGGTAATTATGAAGGGGCTGGAACTTTTACATTTCCTTTTGGGGAAGATGCTAAATTGGAAACTTACTGCTCTATTACTGTGCATCTCAAAAGCAGATGCCTTTCATCTCTACAAGTACTTGCAGTCTTTGGCAGGAAAAAATGGCACTAGACTCAATGCTTCCAACAGCGTCTTGGAAGAATTATTTTCAAATCCAAAACAAGAGAAAAATCTGCATAAGCATAATTGCTTCCATTTATATGCCTGATATAATTAGTGTTATGACATATTTCTTTCATCAAAGCAACAAACAGACATAATGGGAATGAAATTTCAATGACCTTAAATATAGAAGCTTTTCTAATCATAGAGATTGCACCTTTTTTCCATCTATTTCAATTCTTTCCCCCCAGATTTCATAAACTTTTCATCTTCATGAATATTTTATCTTCATATGAATAATAAACCCATAGGGTAGGAAGAAAAGGTGCTATTAATCCCACAAGCGGCAACGCAATTAAAGGAGAAAGCATCTCTGCCTTAGAAATAGACAAATCTAAGTCAAATCCTGGCTCTGCCTCCTACTGGGCTTGTGGCCTTGACCTACCAGCCGAACTCCATAAGCCTCAGTTTGCTCAGCTATAAAACAGACAATATCTATTTGCAGGGTTGCCACACAGATTAGAAATAATAGTAGCAATAGCTAACATTTTGAGTGTCTTCTACATGCCAGGCACTTTACATAAATTAACTCCTTTAATTATCACAATAACATTGTCAGAAAAGTACTATTACTGTGCCCATTTCACAGAGGAAGAAACCAAGGCCCAGAGCCATCAGGTCAGTTGCTCAAGACTACCTAAGAAATAAGAGGTGAAAGCCAGGACTCAAACGCCTGCAGTCAGGCCCTAGAACCTGAGCTTTTGGCACCGAGCAGACAACCAACCTATGGTGCTATTAGTACAATGAGCTTCATTTTACAAGTGATTGTCAGTCACAGCAAATGCTGCCAACAACCTGGGACTAGAATGCCAGCACGAGTGACACACCCCTTCAGCTGACGCTCTGGGGGCTGGGGGGAGATGGGGTACACTGGTGCACAGGAGAGCAAGGGCAGGACCACCTCACTCTTCCTAACTGTTTCCACCCTCAAAGTCCAGGGGAAAGACTGTGTGTTGCCTGGAAGAGAAGAGGCTCTTGAACACAAGTGGACAAGCGCAGCTGGATGGCAAGGGGCTAGATGGGTTTACATCTTATAAAGCAGTCATAACTAAAGAAAGTTTGGTGGCTGAAGGCAATGTTATTTTTGGCAAATTTCTGCATTTTTGAATAAGGACAAATGAGTTCCTTATTAAATCCACTGATAACCAAAAGCTGAGGGGATCAGGAGATAATACTGCATTAAACAGTGAGGATCAAGGCTTGTGAAACTTTAGCAGCATTAATAAAGGAATGACACCCAGAACCAGGGAGATGATGGCTTCCCTCTAATCTAAACTAGCCAGACCCCACCTTCAGGAACATCTTCAGTTCAGAGCCTCACATTTGAGAGGGATAAGCCAGAGCACAAACACAGGAAGGTGACAAAGACAATGAAAAGACTAGGAGAGAGGCCGAACGAGGACCGTTGGAAAAACCAGGAATGATCCAACTGGGGAAAGAGAAGTCTTAGAGCACATAACAGCTGGTCCATATAATACCCAGCCTGTAGCTCAAATAGTCAAGTATAAAACATCAGTTTCCATGATTTAGGTTTCTAGGTGACATCCACCCCCTTGCCCACCCACACTGATAAACTCCTTCAAGACTCCTCTGAAATATCACCCTCTTTTTGCTTCCTCAATTCCCCCAGGCAGAGCAAGTTGTTCCAACCATCCCCTGCACACACTGAGCTCTCTGTTCAGATGTCCATGAGGCTTCCAGCAGGTGGCTTCATAATTTACCTGCCTACAGGGTGGAGTCCCCCCTGGACTGTTGGTTCTCTGAGGCCAACACCTGTGTCCTACTCACCTCCATCCTCCCTGCCTCTGCTCCAGGGCTCGGCACAGAGGAAGCACTCAGTAAAGGGTGAAGGAATGTGTGAAGGAATAAATGAAGAAAAGAGAAGGTATCAGTAGTAAAAGCTGCATGAGGGCAGAACTGTTCAGCCCATGGGAGAATCTCCCCACATCAGAGCACCGCTTGGAGTGATGCCCTCTGGTCACACATCTCGGGACGCCTGTTGGCGGCACTCAAAGGGCACTGGTCCAGGTGACCTCTGAGGAGGCATCTCATCCTAGTTCCTGGGATACGTACTCAAATTAGACTAGGGAAAACCATGTTTGGTTTTGAGTGTTTCTTTTTTTACCTCCTTATTATAAGCTCTCAATAATACTACGCATCAGATGATACTCAAATATTCTTTATCTAAGAACGCAATTCAGCTCAGTGATGAGGGTAAAATACTGCCTATGTCTTGAAGAATTCCACCAGAACTCAGCAGGCTGCCACTTCACCTGGCTTTGGGAGAAATCACGTCACTGCTCTGTGAGAAAGACAAACGTCAAAAGCTGAATCTCCTCTAACGAGTACCTTGGGACAGGTCTTTTGTCAAAGAGACATCTAAAGTTTTTTTTATACAACTATCTTCCAGGTACAAAGTTTCAGTTAGACAAGATAAGTAAGTTTTGGAGACCTACTATAGAGCCTTGTACCTATAGCTAATAATATCATACTGTATGCTTAAACTTTGATTAAGTGAGTAGATCTTATGTTAAGCGTTCTTACTATACACACACACACATCATCCACACAAATAACAATAATGATAATAAAAGAGGCAGGGGGAACCTTTGGGAGGTGATGGATAGTTTATGACCTTGATGGTGGTAATGGTTTCATATACTTGTCCCCAAACTCGCTGAGTTATATACATTAAATATGTACAGCTTTTCACACGTTAACCATACCTCACCAAAGTGTTTTTATTTTAAAAAACTACCTTCCAGATAGAGTCATTTGGAATGGAACCAAATCTACTCATTCATTCAGCAACACTTTACTAAGTGACGCCTACTGCGCCAGGCAGGGGCCAGGTCAGCCCAAGGCTGGTCCCCAAACGCCGACAGGGGTGGGGGGACTGCGCCGTCCCCGCGCTCTTACCCGGTGTTCGTTGATGAGAAGGTCCCGAGCAGCATTAAATATCAGTGTGTGGAGGTGCTTTGAATAAAACACCAAGGTGTAATCATAATCAAAGCCGTAGATTTCAATGTCCGACAGGCTCATCTCATTGTTTGAGAAGATGGCATCTGGATTCAACAAGTTACTCATAATCGAAGGAACTAATTCTAGAAGTAAAGGGAAAAAATACATTATACCACATGACAAATAAAGGGTAGTATGATTCCTGAACAAAATGAGTAAAGTGCAAGAGTGATGAGCCCTATCTACCTTGACAACACTGTGCAAAAATGAAAGGCGCCAGTCACAAAGGACTACATGTTGTATCACTTGGTTTATATGCAATGTCTAGAATAAGCAAATCCATAGAGATGTAAAGTAGACTGATGGTTGCCTAGACCTGGGGGGGACAGGGAGAAACGGAGTGACTGCTAAGGGGCACAGAATTTCTTTTTGAGGTGACGAAAATGTTCTAAAATTGATTACAGTGATGGTTGAACAGCTATTCTGAATAATAAAAACCACTGAATGGGAAACTTTAAAGGGGTAAATTGCATGGTATATATATATATAATATCTTAATAAAACTGTTACAAAAAATATATGCTTTGACATCATAAAGATTTGTTTTGTTTAAGAAAGAATACATGCCAGTTACAGATTTTAGAAGATAAACATGTAGATAATTAAATTTAAATATCACCCATCATGTCATCACCTAGGAAAAAAACTATTAACATTCTATGTGTTTACTGCCAATAATGTACTATGTATATAGTGTACATGGTTGACTTCACACTGTATATACAGCTTTGTATGACACTCTAAATGTAATAATCTACCATAATGTATTCTATCATTATATACTTTCTGAGGATATGACTTTAAACCATTATATAAAATTCTGGTATATAATAGGTACATCAATCTATAACCTACTCTATGTTACCCATTTAGGTTTTTTCCTATTTAAAAAAAAAACACTGCAATAAGTATCTTCAGATATTAGTCTTTGTCTTTCAGATTATTTCCTTCAGATGGTTTATAAGAAGCATGACTAATCCCAGCATACCGTCCAATGTTAGTTTGAGTTTCTTTTTTGAGTTCTATTTATAAGGATTGCTATTTCATGAATTTTATTTTTTTTTCCTTGGAGGTTTTCCAAAACTCATTCTACCTTACAACTTCCATGAGTCCACTGGACTCTTTCAAAACTCTAAGATGCAGTACAGGATGCTAGTGATCTTATTTTCCCAACATCTTGAAACATTTTGCTATTTTATCACTGCAGAAATTATTTCATCGTTACCTATCAATTATTCCCACCTATAATAAAAAAAAAAAGGCTAAGTTAAGAAAGCAGGAGAATGACAGAAGATTGCCCAAGAACTTAACAACAGTGAAATAAATCATCAGTGCACTGCTCTTCAATTTCCTCACTGCACTGCCCAAATACATCATTTTCAGGAAGGCATTTAAAGAAGTCTGAAGACACCATTCTTGCAGTCATATTTTTACTTTCATGGAACATAGTTGAAAATTTGTAACTTTCTATTTTCCACCCATAATGGCAAAAAGCATAAAACTGACAGAATAAATTTCACAATTACTAGATGAGTCAGAAGATGAATGCAAAGAGAGAGAAAGCAGCTCACTAGAGTCTAGTATCCGGAGAAATTGATCACATAAGAGAAATCTCAGACTATGGGTCTTCAATGACCGTATTATTCCAGATGAAAATTAGAATCAAAGAGGGCACAATATATTTCTAAAGAGAGAAAGGAAATACGATATTCTCATCCAGTCATTGCACAGGAAGTCATTTAACACAAAGAACCTCATCATGCAGCATTTTGTGACAAGAACACAGACCTTCCCATTTTGATAAAAGGATATGTGACAGCATTCTTTCACCTTTTATGATGTTTAGGTACCAAAATTGACCCAAAACAGCTCATCAGTAGACAAATGCTGAAGGCAGTCAAAACCACCAACACACACACACACACACACACACACACTAAGTGAGCTGTCCGTATCTTACTACTAATATTGAACTGTCTCTATTTTACTACTCTTTACATTACTAAGGACACCTCCTGGCTCCATCGTCAGAGCTAATGTTTATTAAGCCCTGGCTACGCACTACATGCTCAGAAGTACTTTGTATCACCCCGTTCGATCCTCACGACAACCTAATGAGGCAAATGCTCTATTATTCCCATTTTAGGTATGAGGATGCTAGAGGCAAACGGAAATGATGTAATTTGCTGAAGGACACACAACCACTAACTGGGAGAGCTGGGATTTGAACCTGAGAAGTCTGGCTTCAGAATCTATGCTCTTAACACTCCTCCTGAGGATTATGGGAATGAACAAGCATTTCAGAAGGATGTGGTTATTTTCTAAATAAAAGGGAGTCAATCCTTCCACATTCCAACACTTAACAGAGTCTACAGGGCTTCTCCTTCCCTCCTGCCCACTTCTCTCTCACTAGGCCCACATTAGCCATTTCTAAGGGGCCACCTGATGTATTCCAAAAGTACTACACTCACAGGGTGACAGCTCCAGGCAGAGGACCGTGCCAGCCACAACGAGGTGTTTTGAGCATTTCAGAAGGCTCCTTACAGCTCTGGAGCATGGATCCTTTTGAGAAGCTCACAGAGGCCATAAAGAATCCTCTCCCCTCCCCAAAATATACATACAAATTTTGAAGAAAACTTCAGGGAGGTTGACCCCTGAAACCTATTCATAGTCAGCAGGCAAGATGCCATATTACACTAACTTAAAACCGAGCCTTTACATCCCCACACAGAACATCCAGAGGAGGCAAATGCATGTATGTATGAATGAATGAATGAATTTCTCTCTCCCACTGACAACCTAGGTATGACTTGAGTCCACTGAAAATCCAAATAGTCGAGATTCACCAAATATTCCATTTCATTAGTTTCTTTCTGTCAAAATCAATGAGGTAATAACCTGGGCTTTCATTTGTTTGTTTTGCAAACAACCTCCATCTGAGAATAGGAAATACAGCAGCATTTTAAGAAACTTGAAGGCAGACAGTCACAAGAACTAGCCATGAGGAAGAAAGAACCCGGCAGTCCTGAGCTCTTCAGCACCCACCACCAAAGTCCTTGGGGCCTTACATCATCAATGGGCCAATGCGGATGATGTCATTGTCCAGACAGGACCACACAGCATTGTCCGTATGAAGTAAGCAAGGCAGGATCACTTACAGGGTGACCAAAAGCTCCACTTTCACAGATGACCTTTCCAAGCGAAGTTCTCACAAGCTGTTCACATGAGAACTTCCATTTAGAAACAGTGCTGGCAATCAAGTGTATCTCCCTTTCTGCTATCTGAGAATATGCGAAGCCCTCAAGGAAACATGACCCGGAAGGCACATGGTGCTAACAGTCAGCACATCTCCAAAAGCTGCCCAGGAATTAATACCCCGCTGGAATGAAAGCTCAAGGTGTATCTATCACATGAACATCACTACCGGAAAGCTCAGATGTTTAATTTGTCATCACTCAAAATACACAGGAGGAACACCAGCAGCTTAAAAGGATCTCGGCACCCCATGCAACCACTTTAAAAAAGTGCTAAGGATAAAAGCAAGTCATTACAAGGCAAAAGAAAAGAATGCCAACCACTCAGACAGAGAGAAACGGTCTGTCTAAACCATGGACTCTAGAGTGTAAACAGAAGGGCCCTTGACCAGTCAGTTACATACTGACCCAAAGCAGAGACAAGAGTGGGTTCAAATGTGGAGAGCAATTCTTTTTGCGCCTAATGGATGATGACAGCAAGACTACACAAGGAGGACAGAGACGTGGAGAGACAGCTCTGCTGCTCTACCCAAAGCTCTGACCAGAGCCGGGCTGCAAGGCAGCCGCCCTGAGCCGGGACGTGCGCGCCCTCCCTGCGACAGCGTGGCAGACTGGACACCACGGCACACACACCAGCTTCCGGTCACCCACCTGCTTATCCCACGGAGTGCTGGAGACCAGGCGGAGACCACTCACAGGAATAATCTGGAAGCATTCTGGGGTTTTGTGTTTATTTCTCTTGTGGTAGGTAAAACATGCAAAACATAAAATTTACCATCTTGACCATTTTCAGTGTATGGTGCAGTGGCATTAAAGTTATTCACATTGCTGTGTCACGGTCATCACCATCCATCTCCAGAATGCTTTTCATCTTGCAAAACTGCAACTCTGTACCCAATAAACACTAGCTCCCCATTCTCTTTCCACCAGCCCCTGGCAACCACCATCCTACTTTCTGTCTCTATGAATCTGACTCATACAAGGAGAATCATACAGTACTGGTCTTTTGTGAATGGTTTTATTTAGCACAATGTCTTCAGGGTTCACCCATGTTGCAGCATATGCCAGAATTTCCTTCCTTTTTAAGACTAAATAATATTCCATTGTATTATATCCACACTTGGTTTATCCACTCACCTGTGATGACATATGGATACTTGGGTTGCTTTCACCTGTGGACTCCTGTGAGCGATGCTGCTAAGCACGTTGGTGAGCCCCTCTCCCACTTCTTCGGGGCACACACCCAGGAGTGGGACTGCTGGGTCATAAGCTAACCTGATTTTTAATTCTTTGAGGACCCACCATACTGTTTTCTATAGCTGCTGCACCACTTTCTGTTCTTTGGGGCTTTTTTTCTTTTTTTGTGAGGTCGCCACAGAACTCTTTCTTTGCCTTAATTTTATCTTTACTACCGACAGAGACTATGAATGAAATCAGAACTTAGGTATGGAAGCCAGATATTTTCCACTTATTTAAGGAAAGATTTTTAGACCATGTAAAGCTCTGAGTTTGGGAAATACAATTCTTGCCAAATACTTCATGCCCCATAATGTTCAGAAAAGCACAACTCTCCCTTAATGAAGGCCTGGAGCCTCAAAGAGCAGCGTGTGGGGACAGTGCCGGGTAGAAATCTACGGCCTGGATCGTGTCGGGGAATATTCCTAATGTCCTCAGAAAGGCAACATGACTGCCACTCAGCCCCTAGGGACACAGCACTGGGAAGCTCTAAAGGAACACATCCCTTGCTTGCAGCACTGCCCCAGGAGCAAGTCAGACAAAGACAGGAGGGGCGAGAGGGATGGGCCCAACCAACCAGGGGCCTCGGGGAGCCTG